AACTGTTTACAGTTTACAGTTTGTTTAGTTATTTACAGTAAACAGTTTACAGTTTGTTTAGTTATTTACAGTAAACTGTTTACAGTTTACAGTTTGTTTAGTTATTTACAGTAAACTGTTTACAGTTTACTATGTTTAATGTTAGAAATAAAACAATAAATCTGAAACAATAATCATGAATCAGATTATAATGTTTTAGTAAAATACAACAACACACTTGTTCCGTCTGTCCATCCGTTTTCTTTTATAAGTCAGGTTCTTCAGTCTGGATCAGACAGCTGCTGGTCTGGTTCTGGTTCTGTTCTGTTCAGTTCTGTACTTCTGTGGTTCTGTTTGGGTCAGATGGGTTGAGGAGGACCCCAGAGAGATCATCCGGTCCGTTTACGAGTGCATGGAGAGGACCTGCGAGAAACTGGAGCAACTTAACGTTGACATTTCCAACATTAAAGGTGAGACAGAACCGGACTCAGACTTGGACTCGGACCAGGACCAGGACTCTGATGCTGCAGGGTCAGTCTGGTGGAGGTGTTTGGTTTTGATGTTGTTGTTTACCTGCAGCGGTGGGAGTGACCAATCAGAGAGAGACCACCCTGGTTTGGGACAAAGAGACCGGAGAGCCGCTCTACAACGCCATCGGTGAGTTTTCTGCTGCTCACTTTGTTCTGAAGCCTCTTCAATAAAACAGATCCAGGTTCTGTAAATTCTCCTGTTCCTGTTGGTCCAGTCTGGTTGGACCTGAGAACCCAGTCCACAGTGGAACGGCTCATTAACAGAACTCCAGGCAGAAACAAGAACCACCTGAAGGTAAGAGATGAACGCTGTGCAGAGTTTAAATATGAGTCTTTATTAGTAAATAAAGACGTTTGTGGTCTCTGCAGGACAGAACCGGACTCCCCATCAGCACCTACTTCAGTGCTGTGAAGCTGCGCTGGCTGCTGGACAACGTGGACCAGGTCCACCAGGCRGTTCTGAGTAAACGGGCCATGTTCGGCACCGTGGACTCCTGGATCATCTGGGTAAGKGTGGTCTGAGACCTGCAGCTGTCTGTTCCTCGACACGTTTAGAACTTGTGGTTTTGGTGTCAGTGCCTGACGGGAGGCAGGACCGGAGGGGTCCACGTGACGGACGTGTCTAACGCCAGTCGCACAATGCTCTTCAACATCCACACGTTAGACTGGGACCTGGAACTCTGCAGGTAGGAACACCTGGARGCAGCTCGGCTCGAAGCAGTTGGGCTTTAAATAATCAGACGTTGTTCTTTAAGGTTCTTCGACATTCCAGTGGAAATCCTTCCAAAGGTCGGGAGCTCGTCTGAAATCTACGGCTGGATGGTGAGTCCTGCTGACTGTCTGGTTCTGGGTGGGTGTTTGGGTTTGAGATAAGATGTTCCAAAGTCTGAGAGCAGCTGGAGGAGCTGCAGAGACCAGACTGACTTAATCACAGATTAATCTTTGATTTCTGGTATAAAACTGTTCTTTATTTCTGTGTGAATTCAACTAATAAARGTTTGATTCGTACTGATCCACTCCTAACTTCAGAGGTTCCTCCCAGAAAGTCAGACCATTAATATATCACTGGATTGGGCGTCATGTGACCTGGGCGTGCTTCACAAGGGGGGTTTTTATGCATAGAGCTAATGCTAACGCTAACGTCTATTCAGATATTGTATTGTCTACGTCCAGTTTTTGTGTTTTTCAACATTTCCAGAGAAAAAGGAGAAAATAAAATGTGTGCCAGTATCAGATACTGCCTGCAYCATTATGAAGCTGAAGAATAATTCTTTGTTATAAAAATTTAATTCATTGAACAATTCTTTGTAATATGAAATAATCTGTACTTTATTTTGTTTTTACTGACGTTAAAATTATTTTAGTTTACAGCAAAAAC